CCCGCATCGGGCTCCCTGCTCAGCGGGGAGCCTGCTTCTCCCTCTGACCCTCCCCCCTCTCATGTACTCTCTCTCTCTCTCATTCTCGCTCTCTCAAATAAATAAATAAATAAATCTTAAAAAAAAAAAAGGTTTTGTTGGTTCCAGGAATTAGTGCATATTGAAATAACTCACTTGTGGTTAAAAATAAAAACATAATTTTTCCCATTAAAAAAAGAAAGAAAGAAAGGAACTTACAGGTGTCACTTGCAAAAGGCCTTTCTTCTGCAGCTTCCGGATTTTTTTCAAAGCTCTGTTGCGCTTGTGTAGAATTTGTAGTGGATTGAAGCCAACCTGAAAAATCCATTGCTATCTTACAAGAGTGCGGAATATGATGCTGCTGAATATTCTACAGCAGAATTCTAATAACTTTAAGTGGGATGGGCCGGGCTCGGGGCACATGATAAAGGTATGTGTAATAAAATGTAGAAGTGGTTCAAACAACGACAGCGATGGCTTTGTGTCAACAGCTTTGGTCTGCTCAGCCTGTGTGCCCTTATCAACATCCAAAAACCTCTGTGCCACCCAGGGTTCGTCTGTAAATTACCCATCAATGGGCCTAAACTCTCCTTAAATCAGTGTGTGTTTTTGGCCTGTGCAACTCTGAGGGGACTTTATTTACTTTCTACTTGTTGGATATGGTGCCATTTAATTAGTACTCTGCTTCTATATCATTTTCATTCTACTAAACTTTATATGATTGTATTTTATAGTATCTATTATTGCATGATTTTGGTTTATAACTTTAGTATTAGATCAGATGGCAACCTTCATTTTCTCCTTTTCAAAACAAATGTGGTCTTGCTGTGGCAAAATATTTTGTTCCAGAGTCATAAGTAAGGAGAATCACATTATGTAATAATGAAAAAAAATCCTTGACAAAAAAAAATGTAGTTAGATGGAAAATACTAGATTAAGTGAAAAGCACAGTATGTAAAGCCATATAAGCAATATAATACCATTTTTGAAAAAAAATAGCTGGGTAGAAAAATATCTGATGCATGCCAAACTAAGAATAATAGGGTTGAAGGCAGGATCTGTATGCAAAGGACAGGGCAGACCAAAAGGCAAATTCGAGAATAAGTGCTGAGCTTTTGTTTTCTTGACCTTAAAACTGCTTCTTCGTCATCTTCTCTTCAGTCCATCAGGGACACTCAGCTGTCATTTGGTGTTAAATATTCATTAATGTTATATTTATTCATTGTCAGTCATATTCCAAATATTCACTTGCTATCCTGAATATATTCAATGAGAGTCAAATAGTAAGTACTCTCTTGTTGTTTCTGAAGTTGACGCCCAAAGCAAATCTGTAGGATACCCTCTGCTAAAAACCCAGCAGCCCCAAATCTTGTGGTAAGTCCTTTCACTCCACAGCAGAATTTGATAAAAGGTGACTCTGGGGGCTCCTGGGTGACTCAGTTGGTTAAGCGTCTGCCTTTGGCTCAGGTCATGATCCCAGGGTCCTAGGATCGAGCCCCACATCAGGCTCCCTGTTCAGCGGAGAGTCTGCTCCTCCCTCTCCCTCTGCTGCTCCCCCTGCTTGTGATCTCTCGCTCTCTCCGTCAAATAAATAAATAAAATCTTTAAAAAAAAATTAGTCTGTATTGAACCTCATCCAAAGGGCCTTATTTCCCAACATATTAATAGACCCCTTACCAGGTAGTTTCGCCTGCTCTAGAACACGGGACAGAAAAACACGAACACAATCCAGCTTCAACATATGTGAAATCAATCACCCTCTGGTTACAGAGCAAACATTTCATTCCTAGATATTCAGTGGAATTACCCCCCCCCCCAAAAAATAACAACTTCAAACCTTACAGCATCGATAAGTTTCTGTTTAAAGAACTGAATGTTTGCAAAGTAGATGGGGGCTGGACACCTGAAGATCTTCACCCCTTCTGGCTCGTGCATCTGTAGGGCAGAGAAGTAGTATGAGACGAGCCCACTGGACTCATATTAATATCTTTCAGCAAGTCAAAGTAAAAAAACGGATCTTCCTTACGTCCGAGTAATCTTTCTTATTCTTGTAGATGTTGCTCCTTCCGACGTTAGCCAGAGTGCTGCATTTTGGACTGTAGGGAAAAATCGACACCAAGTGAATCACTCGTGCGTGTTTGTTAGGTCCTTAAGGCTAACGCTGATTTCCCCTAGCATATCAGGACTATGAGCAGGCTCACTTTCAAAATATAAAGGGCTGGGGAATCATCATGCCATTAGACACCCTGGAGGGCAAACACCTCGTTTTACCTATACTTCCACCCCTCCTAGAACAGCCTAGAACAGCGCCTCCCATTTACCACCTTCCATCTTACAAAGTGCTCCCATATGCTTTTGCTGTTTGGGTTCCAAATATCACAGTTATTCAATGAAATCGATCCAGTTACCCAGTTGTACAGATGAGGGCATGGAGAAGCACAATGTGTTGCCTACAACCACTCAGTCTGTCTCTATGATTGATGGGTCCCTGATAAGTGAATGAAAACTTAACGGAATCAGAGAGGGCAGGAACATTTCAACATAAATGTATTCCATCAGCCAGGGATTAACTTTAACCACCCCACCTTCTGTTCTAGAACTCCTGAGCAACCAAGAAGCCTATTTCTCCATCACACCATGTCATCCAACATAGGCTGAGTGACCACATGGTGGTGACATTATATGGCAGAGATTTAAGAATCAGGAAGATATTTGGACTGGATGTTAAGAATCAGGAATGCTAACTAGTTTTTGTGGACTTTTCAGATAACAGGGCCCTTTGAGAAGTTCTCTAGTCCAGCCCCCTGTTTTTAGATGGGAGTACAATCTAGCAACCCGTGAAAAGGAACAGCCCTCCACTAGACGTGGAGAATCCCACAATCTTCTTTGGAACCCATTTCCGTGTCTGGCAAGTCTATGGCAAAGACATGACACCTGCTCAGAGGCTAATGCTCCCAGTTTCCGGCTGGGCAAACAGACTCTGCAGTTTATATGATTTCTCTGAATTGGTGGCAAAGCAGGGAACAGACCAGTAGCTGGTGAGACCTGGGCTGGGGATGCTCTGAGGTCAGGGCATGTCTATGGCCCTTCAGGCCTTGAGGGGAGCAACGTGAGAAGAACAGACCAGCCAGTCTCGATAGATATGCATGCCTGTCAACTAAACTACTTTCCCCTTAATCAGTGACAAGTTTTACGCCCTCCCACAGGCATGTCCAAGTCTGCAAGGATGCAGAGCATGATGCACACTCACAACTGGGTCCTGAATACAATGGTCAGGAGCTGAAACGCCACGCTAGCAGCAAGGCCTAAACCGAGTCCCAGGACAATGGCAAAGATGAAGGTCATGATCCAAATTAGCTGTAAAAAGAGGGTGACACATGCACAACAATTTACTCTGACTCAACTGCAGTGTCTTAGGTCCAGAGCTTTGAGAAAGCATGAACTTCTAGAGCCAAAGCAGAGGTTGGAAGTGTACAGGACAAGGGACCTGCCTCGAGAGGTCATTTCTTTTTTTTTTTTAATTAAAGATTTTTATTTATTTATTTGAGAGAGAGAGTGAGAACAAGCAGGGAACGGCAGGCAGAGGGAGAAGCAGACTCCCCACTGAGCAGAGTCCGACGCAGGGCTGGCTCCTAGGACCCTGGGATCATGACCCGAGACGAAGGCAGATGCTTAACCAACTGAGCCACCCAGGCTCCCCGAGAGTGTGTTCATTTCTAATCCCATCCCTGACCCAGTTAAGGAAATAATTGAGTCTATCTGGCACAGTTAAAACCGCAGAGCCAGCAGTTGTTGGTTAAAATCAGCAAATTAATCAGCAGGGCTTCTACTGATTTTTGTTTTCTGGTGGTCTGCTGATTTAATAAATGGCTACTATCTGTACAAGAATTTTAGCATGTCAAAAGGGTGTTAAAATCCCCAACAATTATCTACCAGGAACAAAAGTAAACCAAGTATAGCTGATTGCTTTATGCTTGTTAAGTACCATAGGATATGTTAACAATGTTTTTATGCCCCAGACTTTGATCCTGGTAAAATTATGGACTCTGCGTCTCAAGCAGGGCATGTCAAGAGCAAGGGGCTCCTTTATAGACTATTTCCAAAAGGAATGTTCAGAATTTAAACTCTTCACAGATCCTCTGGAAACAAACATCTGATGTAATGAAGAACAGAAGCAACCATATCCTACTAGTGTTTCATGGAGCATCGCCTACTTGCAAGTGGCTCCTTTTTTTAAATTCAAATCCCAGAGCAGGATCATTAGAGTATGCAGTTTAAAAATAGCAAATAAAGGGGCACCTGGGTAGCACCATTGGTTAAGCCTCAGACTCTTGGTCCCCACTCCAAACGGGACATCATGGTCATGAGATGGCGCCCCCAGTCGGGATCCCCGCTCAGCGCGAGTCCACCGAGATTCTCTCCCTCTCCCTTTGCCCCTCCCCCGACGTGCACATGAGCACATGCGCTCTCTCTCAAACAAATAAATAAATCTTTTAAAAAAATAGCAAATGAAATAAACTCAGATTATTTGAATAGATAATATAGAAACCAAATTTCACTTGGTTTATAATATGAATGTGCATTTCACATCAGCATTAGCATGTTGTCCTGATTTCTCTGTCTCTCAAATATCGCTCCCTCTACTCACACAATCATACTTATCCTTTCGCCAGAGTCTTCGTATCTCTGTGAACTGCATCAGCATTCCCTTCAAGTTCCCAAGTGCTAAAGCCGCCAGGACAGACTGCAAAAAAGATAAACAGCAGATGTACTTAAAGATAATCAAATAAGTCACACAGAATCAAAGGTGAAGGTTGTAGATAAATGTGTCCTTTAAAGGGCCTCAAAGCCTAGCCCAGAACACACCTTTTCCCAGTGTATAGTGCTGTGCAAGACACACCAGACCTGGGACTCTGACCTGTTCCCAGGCATGACTTTTTCCCCACCGCAGTGACAGTGCCAGGCTATGGGTAGAGGAAAGCACTTACTGGCCTGTACCTTGGGACAGAGACAGGCAGATCTTAAGACTGATGCCTGAAATAAATTTTTCCCAATCAGAGACAGTCTAATGTGTGTTTATTTATTGGAGCTGCGGAGAAGGGGTTGCTCTTTGTTAAAAAAAAAAAAAATCTTGGGGAACTTGGGGTTCCCAGAAGCGTAATTCAAACCTTTGAGGATGATCAGCATTCAACCATTTTTTTAAAAAGGTTTTATTTATTTATTTGAGAGAGAGTGCATGCACGTGAGTGGGGGTGGGGCAGAGGGAGAGAATCTCAAGCAGACTCCAGGCTGAGTGTGACATTGAAAAGGAAATTGCCAATTCAGCAATGGTTAGCTGGTTAAACAATGGTTCACAAATGAACATCAGTTACAAAATGCTGAAAACTGAGTAGAGTCTGTAATCTAGTTGACAGTACGGTTCCAGTGTCCCTATCCTGGTTTTGATCACATACTATAGCTAACGTAAGATGTCCCCGCCGTGGTGGCTGGGTGAGGCGTGCACAGGACTGCACACGGCGCCTCCTCTGTTGGGGGACCTGAGTGTAAAGCAGGTCAGGTGCTGCTTGCAGAAGAGGGAAACCCCTTCTCTTTTCATTAGGCATTGTTTTCTCACCTGGTCAGTATTCCACGGAGCAACAATTTTTTAAAATTTTTCATTGCAGTATAGACACAAGACAGCCCTTTAAAAAGTAAAGATTACAGAGCACTGAGAAGCCATAGAAAGGAAAAGGGGGATAATTTTATCAGGAACCAGATCTCCATACTGCAGTTGATGTAAAGGATTAAATAAATATAAAATGCTAAGAACTGGGGCACCTGGGTGGCGCAGTAGGGTTAAGCGTCCGACTCTTGGTTTCAGCTCAGGGCACGATCTCAGGGTCCTCGGATCAAGCCAGGCGTCGGACTCCATGCTCAACAGGGAGTGGCTTGAGATTCTCTCTCTCCCTCTCCCTCTGTGCCTCCCACTCTTGCTCTCTCTCTTTCTCAAATAAATAAAATCTTTTAAAAAATGCTGAGAACTGCTAATGCTTAATCAGCACCCAGGAGACATTTATCATTAGCTATTATTGTGGGTTATTTTGCATAGTTCACATGATAAAAAGAAACAAACCAGCTATCCCGGTCAAACAGATATTGCAGATACAATGGTCTAAGCAGAACTCATCACATGGATCCTTTGTCGAAGGGGCTTTGACTCAGATCACAGACAATGTCCCCGGGTGTGCTTTATTCGTGAGAGAGATAGGATTTAACTGGCAATTACTTCCCAAGGCTCTCCAACTCAGCATGGGCGATGTAGAGCCCAAGTGTACCCTTGGGAAGAGGAACGATAGGGCAGAATTCTCTAATAGGGGGGTTGCATGTGCACTTATTTTTATCGAGATAGACGTTCTTCTATTTCTTTGGTGGTGACTTCATGATTCCTTCGATGCCATTCCTTTGGAAATCAGTAGGTTAGCTTATGGAGAATGCATATTCTTGGCAGAGAGTACTCTGCATTGCTTGATGACAGATTTGGTCAGTGAGGCTCTTTGGGATGACCACACTGTTAGTCTAGAAACCTGGGACCAGATTCACTTTCCAGCTACCAACCAACAAGGAAAAAGGCCTAGATATCAACTAAAAAATACTGTGGGCTTGTGTCCTGTCTCTATGTCCTTTGTAATGAGAAGTGTAGTATCATGTTCGTAGAATAATAACAATACAATAATAATCTTAATATTAATGGCTACATATATTTAGTGCTTGTTCCATGCCGGGCCCTGGGCTAAGTCCTTAATGTGCAATATTTCATTTAGTTTTCGCAACGACTCTGTGAGGCGGGTACTGTTTCCCTCCCTATTTTTACAAATGGAAAATGTAAGTTTCAGAGAGGTTAAGTAATTTGCTTAAAAGCACACAGAGAAAAAGAGGCAGAGCCCGGATTAGAAGTAGGTCTCCAGAACTTGAGAGCCGGTGCTCCGTGGGGTATCTCAAAATTACATCACCTCCACAAAGAACAAGGTATTTACCATTGTCTGGTTTCCTAGAGATCCTTGCTTTTCCAGGGTCTGCTGTTATTTCTTTAATCTGGGGGCTGCAGCCGTTTAACAAAGCATGAACCCAAACCCTCAAAAATCACAGTTCAGGAGAGATGGACCAAGGAGCAAGACGGTGACAGGGTGAGGTCTGTGTGTGGCTGCAATCTGATAGTGTTGGTCTTGGAGTCGGCCCAAACCCTGGGAGCTGCAGGGTGGATCTGTAAGAACGGTAGCACCACTCTCTGAACTTGATAGAGGCCCTGATGACCTCAACCCTTAAGGAAATCTTCACTTCTGTCAAGCTACGTCAAGGCTGAAGCGCCTGGGCATCGTTCCGTCTAAACATTAATTATTTTGGGGGCTCACAAGCATGTGGAGAGTGGAGCAGATAAGGGAGTTGGGGCATTTGCATTCCTAGCATTCATAAAATGCTGCCGGGGGGAAAAATACAGATTTTTGGCCCCAGACTATGGGCTAGGAAGGGTACTCGAGAATTTTCAGTTCCCTCATTTTCCTGTCTAGTTTGCACTTCCAGAGTGGAAGAACCAGGGTCGTTGATTCATCATCGCCCAAAGCAGAGAGAGAGAGAGAGAGAACCCAAAGAGAGACTAACGATACCTTTTGTAGTGGCTCCAGAAGAAATCCAAGGGCTAAAATGACAATCAGCACGATGATAGCAGAGAGAATCCCAGCGATCTGTAAAGACCAAAAGATACTCATCGCAAAATCGACACACCCGCCCCCCCCCCCAGCTCGGAGTCGCTGGCCCCAACGCCAGGATGGCCCTCACAGTAAAGACCCCCAACTACCTGTGTCTTGCCCCCAGTGCTCTCCTGAACCCCGGATCTGGAGAGGGCGGTACTCGCAGCAAAGCCTTTGAATGATCCAGTGAATATGTTACTCAATCCCAAGGCTATTAACTCCTGGCAGGAGAACAAAGAGGAATCCTTTTCAGAAATGGCACTGGTCGTACGATGTCCACACAATATTACTTAAAGTTGCCTAAAGAGACCCAACACAGGTCGTAAACTTACCTGATTGCCATCGATCGGATAATCATATTTGAGGGAATAGACGCTGGCCACGGAGAAGGCCACCATAAAGCCAACGATCGCAATGCCGAAGCTATCCCCGAGGGTCTCTTGGAAAATCTGCATGTCGGGTGCGATGGGGGGCTGAAATCTGAAAAGGAAATGGAGCGAGTTTGAATGTCACCAACCTGCTAATAAACCTTCAATGGCATTCACTTGCCCTCAGGAAAAGCCACATTCCCTGGCAAGGCCCTTCCCCACCCCCACTCCTGCTCAATCACTATCATTTCCCAGAATTTATGCTCCAGCCATACCAAGCTTTTGTTTGTTTGTTTCTCAAAGGCATCATCTGTACTTTCACCTTGGAAGCTTCTAATTTGCTGTTCCTTCTGCCTGAACTATTCCCCTCATCCCCATCCCTCCTTCCAGAAAGTCTTCTCTCACCACCAAGGTCAGGGTTAGGTGAGATTCTCTGAGCTTCTCCAGCCCTGGATGCCTCCCTTCCTTACCCCTCCCGCCCCCTCCCCCCAACTCTCTCCCCAGGCACAGAGCAGGGACTGTGACTACTTCATTGTTCTATGACCAAGACCGAGCATTCTTCATGGTGAACATCAGGTGGTCAATAATTGTTGGGCAAATCCAACGAGTGAATGCAATCTAGGCTGAGTTTGGTCTCACTTTGAAGTGTGACCAGCAAGAATTTAGCACCGCTGCAAACTTTGGAATCTGTTATCTTATTGTTGAAAAGCAATGTTGCCTGAATTTGATACCAGAATGTAAATCCAGTCCCATGATAGTGGCACATCTGATATTTTGATAGTATAGCACATTATAACATACACTTCTGTCCCTGTAAGCTTCCTGCAAAATGTCTTAGATCCCACCTGTATTGTTACACTGGATTGAAAAGCATCACCCACAATCCCTCCAATAGTTACCATGGATGAAGGTCTTTAAGCAAACACAATTAAAGACAAGAGAAGCGAGAAAGTCTTCCCTCCATCGATAACAATACCTTCCATGAAAAACCCTTAGCAAACAGATGGGCCTTGGACTCTGCCCTGGGTTCCACACTGGAGACAAGCGTGGCCCTGACGGGGAAGGGCATTCATAGTCACGCGGTGTCAGGGAAATATTCAACTCAGAGAAGACCCTTCTGTGTTTGTACCTCACGACTTCAGAACAGTCAAATGGTATTTGCTAACTGTGTTATAAAAGGTCCAAGTATCTCCGAGTCCACATCCACTGACTGAAAGGCTCACTTCCTTCCTGCCAACATGTGTTTCTGACCTAAATCTTATTGGAAGTGAGTTTATTGGATTCATTCAACTCTTTCTTAATTGCTGTTCATGTTTGATGAATATCTGTGTTCATACATTTACAGCCTTAGTTTTGAAGAAGTACTGTGAGGTATACGAGGTATTCTGCAGCTACCATGAATCAGAATGTTAGCCTGGAATGTTGTTTTTCCAAAAATAAATCCCAAATTGACTATACAATTGAAATTTGCTTTTTATACCACAGTAACCAGAAGTCTGCTAGTATTCTTTTGTCCTAGCCTCTAAATACCAGAGACAGAGTGGTGTGATGGAGATTTACAGTCTGAAAACGGATTCATTTCCTGGCTCTGCTTCCCTGCCCCGAGCCAGTTTCCTCCTTTGTAAAGGGAGAATAATCACACATGTTTTTTTTTCTTCATAATTTTTGTGAGGGGGGAGTGTCACATAAAATAATGAACATGAATACTATTTACACACTGTAAAGTATGAAGTGCCTATTAAGTATTATCATACGATCCCTCTGGAATCTGAATATTTCCTCCATGTCTCCTTGACTGTTTCAATGAGCACTTTCCTTCAGCCCGTGTGTGTGACTTCTTAAAATCACTTCCAAGGTGTCATACTTCTTCACAGCAGATTGATGATAATTAATAATCATTATTTTCCTGTTATATTCTATTGGTGATCATCAGAAATTTAAAATACCCACTGAGGGTGCCTGGGTAGCTCAGTCGGTTAAGCGTCTGCCTTCGGCTCAGGTCATGATCCCAGGGTCCTGGGATCGAGCCCCATATCGTGCTTCTTGCTCAGCGGGAAGCCTGCTTCTCCCTCTCCCTCTACCCTTCTCCCCTGCTCATGCTCTCTTGCATGCGAGTGCACGCTGTGTCTCTCAAATAAATAAATAAAGTCTTAAAAAAAAATAAAATGCCCACTCAATCATCACCCAGAAAAAAATGGAGTGGAAAAAGCATGTAAAGAGCCTAGTACCTAATTTAGGTGCTAAATTAGTAATAAAGCAGTGGGAACACTCATTGTAGGACAGGCACTTAAGCATGCATGTCACACATATGGACACGCTTAATCCTTACAAGAATCCAATGTGATAGCTACTTTTTTCAGCCCCATTTTTAGAGCCAAGGACACAGAGGCATGGAGTTTAGTTATTTGCCCCAAATCAGGAAGTAACTCAGAAGTAAATCCTAGGCACTCTGCCTCTAGAACAGGCGAGCTTGTCTACCAGGCTACACTGCCTCTCTGTGGAGTGTAATGATTAATAAATGTGAGTTACTCCTTCCCCCGCCCTGCAGACACTGTGGAGAGAGATCCGTTGACATTCAAGATTTCTTTACTAAGAAAAGTCTCAAAAAGGGGCGCCTGGGTGACTCAGTTGGTTAAGCAACTGCCTTTGGCTCAGGTCATGATCCTGGAGTCCCGGGATCGAGTCCCACATCAGGTTCCCTGCTCAGCAGGGAGTGTGCTTGTCCCTCTGACCCTCCTCCCTCTCATGCTCTCTGTCTCTCATTCTCTCTCTTGCAAATAAATAAAATCTTAAAAAAAAAATTAAAAAAAAAAAAGAAAATCTCGAAGATTGTAACTCAGTGATCTCAAGTTTATGTTTCACTAGGTAGTTTATGTCTCCCAAGACTTTTCAATAAAGTGTAATCACTTGCAAGCTGCAGGGTGGAGAGAAATCCCAGAAATAGCCTTTCAGTTTCAGACTAATTCCTACTTAAAGATCTTTTAAATGAAAAATGGTGCTTGAGATTCATTAAGTGTAACAAATGAATATCTGGTGATAAAAATATTTTTGCATGTATTTGCTTTTTCAAAAATTTGGTTATTTTAAAGTCAACAATGCATATAAATGCTGATTCCTGGAATTCTCAAATATCTCTTAAGCATGGGGAGGGAGGGAGGTCTTTTGTTTGTTTGTTTGTTTTAAACAGGAACACAACCTGTCCTTGGTAAGCAAATTGGAGGAAGTTGATGCTCTGGTCAGAAGGCAGAGAGAAGAAAGCACAAAACTGGATCTCTCTTCTCAATCCAATAAAGGCAATGCAATCAGTGCATTTTCCAAGTCCTTGTATGAACTGGACCGCCCAACCTTCCGCAGCGTTCAGTGTTGTTCTGGCCTTGTTTTGAATTTGATCACGAGAAAGGACAGAGTGTGCCTATCTGGATTGCTCAAGCAGTGGGCTCAGGTATTCCTTCTGGGTCTCTTTTGAACTGTCAGAACCTGGCTCTAGTCACCTCCAACAAAACACTGCATTTTGTTTATAGTAATTTCTGAACAAGGAAATCTGGTTTCATTTGGTTCCTTTTTATGAGGAGAAGCAGGTTTGATTTGCCTTTTTTTTTTTACTTTGACTGCTTCACTTTTCCCTGCGTGTGAATCCCTGCTCATCTGGTTTGTGAGTTCTTCCACGAGGACAGACTTTCTGATAATTAAGAACTGCAGAGTCTTTGTGGCTCCTTCCTAGAAGGAGAGTAGCGCGCTTTCCTCATCCTCCCATGAGGGAGGGAGGGTTCTGCGCTGGATGACTGCTTGCAGTCACTGCTCCCTCTCTAGTCAGTGCGTGGAGAGGCCAGCATAAAAGACACACTTACCCTCTGTTCATCTCCCCAACCACAGCCACCTTAAACCTGTTTTCGAAGTCAAAGCCATAGGATACACCTGTTGCGATCACAGTCTGCAAAGTTGCAAATTGCCCAAGTTAGAAATATGAGATATCACTCACAGTCTTCTTAGATCAGAATCTCTAGCCCAGGCTTTGCTACTTTTTAAAACAAAGTCCTGAGGCAATTCTCCTGAGCCACCAGAGGGAAGAACCGCAGCTCTGATGGGTCTGCCAACCTCTCTGAGGCCTTGCTCTCTGTGCAGTCCTGTCTCACACGGAGAGAATGAACCCCAAATCACAAAAGGAAGTCATTAATTTGGAATGAAGAGAAAACCATACGAAATTTGACACCCAGAAACTGCAGAGATGGCATCTGCCTCACTAAAACCTCCTGAAGCTTTTTGACATAAAAACAGGAGACTAATGAATTATGAAAGAAAGTCGTAAGACGATCAGTTACCATGATGAGTTCAATTGGGATGGGCACTGGAAGTTTGGCTTTGTAGCGCTGATTTATTTCTTTAACCACAAATACAATCAGTAGGATAATCAAGGAGGTCACAAGGTCTGCAATATTAGTGTCCTCTATTTGTGTGAATACGGAATTCAGCACCTAAAATTATAAAAGCGAAAAACAGCCAAGTGCTATATTTTTTCTTCCTTTTTAAGAATCTTTTTTATTTTTTTATGACCTTTTTTTTTTTTAAAATTTGAGTATGGTTGACAACACAATGTTAGTTTCCGGTGTACAGCAGAGTGATTCAGCATCTCTATTTCAATGTCATTGACTATATCCCTATGCTATGCCTTTATCCCCGTGACATATTCATCCTATAACTGGACTCTATCTCCCTGCACCCACTTGGCCCAAACCCCCACCCCCCACCCCTCGGGCAACCATCAGCTTCTTCTCTGTATTTATAGGTCCGACTCTGCTTTTTTGTTTGTTTATCCATTTGTTTAGTTTCTTTCCCAAGTGCTATATCAATATATAATTTGGATGCAATCTTCGATTATTTCCAAACAGCTTAAAAAAACATTGAGGCAAGAAGGACTGACGTGGGTGGAAGAGTGATTCTCTGTTCTGCTCATGTTAACCATGAATGAGTAATTGTAGACACTAGCGTGGGGGATATGAGGAGGGTAAGTCAGCCCAGTATCAGCACCATACTGATAGAGGGATGCTTGGGGCATTTTTGCTGGGAATCTCTTTGGCTGGTGTCAAAATTCCCTGGATACTTTTCACATTTTTACAACTGGTCTCTTCTGCTCTTAGGTCTTATGGGTTATTACTTTATAATCAGCATCATTTTCTATCCAGGGAATAACCTCTCCTTCCCAATAGTTTTCTTAGCATGTATCCCCTTAATTCCTGGCTTTTTTTTTTTTTTTTTAAGGTTAAGGCCCTTCACATTTCTTAGTTAACTGTGTCACTTTTGGAAACTCGTTTCTTGGCTAATGGTGCATTGTACATGATCTTAATTTTTAAAACCAGCTGGATTCCCTTTCCATGGGATCTGCAGAGCTCAAGCAGGTCCAAACTAGATCCCAAATTGCTCCTCGAACACTCCACTTCTAGACTAGCCCTGGATGGGAGTGAGATGGTTCCGATATGGAGCAAACTCTGTCTCAGCTCCCAAATACCGTCTTGATAGAAGCACCAATAAGCCCGAAATTCATAAAAGAAAGGAGACAACAAAGATCAGAGTGGAAATACATGAAATTGAGACTAAAAGGACAATAAAAAAGATCAGCAGAACTAAGAGCTGGTTTAGGGAAAAGATAAATAAAACAGGCAAACCTTTGGCTAGACTCAGCAAGACAAAAAGAGAGAACTCCAAATTAAAAGCGCCATGCACACTGTCCTATTTACATCTTGGCTAATTTCCTTTTGCTTTATAAACAGGGATGCGTAAAAGAGTCGGAAGAACCTCCATTTAAAAAGAACAAGACCTGCTTTTTAAACTTAGGGAAACATTATCACTCAGCACATTTCTTTCAAAAGAAGATTTTGAGGAAATTTTTAAATCATGGGACAAAATATTAAAACCTTTAATAATGAACTTAGATTTCTTTTTCTTTTAAATAACACTTAAGAGTCAAATCTCAGAGACATGGTAGTTAATTTGTGTTGTTCACGTTAGCTGGATGGTAGATGTGGTTTGATATTTAGCGTTCTTCCCTTGGCCACTAATTTTTTTCTTAATGTGACTAAATTTCACAACCTGTTGGTTTCTTGGGTGTTGTCGGGAAGCCCCGTGTCAAAGGCATGGAAAGAAAGCTCTCCTAGAAACAGGATAGTAAATTTCATGTATTTTGATAATTTCGAGGCAAAAGGACCACTTACTTTGAAAATTGAAAATGGATCAGTGTGTGCTGGGACCTTCAGCTGAAGCATGAATTTGAGCTGAGAAACCAGGACATGCACTGCAGCAGCTGTGGTGAAGCCACTGATGAGGGACTCCGATAGATAGATCACCACGAATCCGAAACGCAGGACCCCCATGAGCAACTGGAAAGAGAAGGGCAAAGGCCTTTGGTAGTGTAGGTTACAGGTGCACTTCAGCAACTAGAGAACCAGCAGTGGAAAGAATTCAAAATGTAAAGGTTCCGCCTGTATGTAAATGAAGAAGCAGGTGTCCTTGCCTCCCGGAACACCTCGGGTTCAGGGTTCCTCCCTCTCCCTCCTTACCCCATCCTACTCCCAAGGTGGAGCATGTAAGTCTAGGATACCCTAATAAGTACCAGGCTTTTTCCTCCCCCCCACCCTTTTAAGTTGCCATATCTTCAGAAGACTCATCCATATATCTTTCATAGCAAAATCCTATCTAGCATCCGCCCTCATAAATTTTCCATGTAATTTTAAGTGGCTTGCTGGCTGCTACAGCGTTCATGGTGAGCATCCATTCATATGCCCTCAAACAAGTTGCTTGACTTTTGTAAGAAGTACACGACTGTGTACGGAACCTCAGAAGTGCTCAGTTTTAACTGGGGGCCAAAGTTGTTCATTCCCCCCAAGCCTCAGTATTTTGCAGTTATGTGCACGGACAGATTCTCCTTCGTTGGATCCCTGGGTTGCCTTTCCATTCGTGTCTCCAGAATGCAGCCGGAGCTGCAGACATGCAAAGGTGCTAGATTCAGAAAAGAATCGGCCGTTTGTCTGTCATTTGGGCACACCACTAATGTCCTTGTTTACACTCACTTTCTCTTTCTTTAAGGAATGGTCTTAGCCAATAATTTCACTAATCAGAAACTCAGCCAACATCTTGAGGAATCCACACCATTTTCACTATTCACTATTCACCAGCAATAGAGTCAGGGGTGTGGCTTGGGCGGGAGGCTTTAGCCCCTCCATAATCCTCTTCAGCTTTCCTGAAATCTTTGATACAGACAGTTCAAAGTGCTCAACCCCAAATCCTTCCAGCTAGATTACAGTCCCTGAGGAATTGGAAAGAAAAAAGTTCCAAAGCTGCCAGGGTCACTATTACTTGAATTAGGCATTTCACTCCTCACCACTGGTGCCTCCCTCTTCCTATTTTCCCTTCTCTCTACACCCGCGTTCACTCATCTTTGCAATGTGGATCTGCTCCTCCACTTCCGGTTGGAGGGAGTAGCCCTTCTCCTTTCCTGTGGGCCACTGAGAGAGGAATGGAAGCCAGGGGAAGAGTGAGGAAGGGGTGGCGGGAAGGAGACAGAACAGAAAGATGTGTATCAGTGAGGACAAGCAGCACGGGGAGGGCCGATTACATGAGAAAGCGCTCACCTGAATGATTCCAGAAAGGACGGTGACCGTGGCAGCCACCATCAACTTATACTCGTCTGTTGAGGAATTGTTACTCATTGAGCTATTAGAGATTTCCAGAGCAGCTGTACTGTCCGATGGGGTTATTTTCACAACGACTGCTCCCACCATCATGCTCAGAACCGGAAATGGACCTAATTAACAGAGGATGCACTGTAGTCAATATGGGCTCCCTAAAGCACAGCTGTCTTTCAACCACAATGCAGCGGATAAGAAGACTACCAGCTGTTCTGCCCTCCTTCCCCACCCCCCAGTCCCAGTTCTTACAAGGAACTATGACTGCTGTCTAGGATCATGCACAATTTAGAATTGATACAGTGTGTGGCTAATGGAGTTAATAAAGAAAAAGCCATGCGAGCATTAATTAGCCCACAAACTCACTTACCCACAGATATGTGTTTAGAAGTGCCCAAGAAAAAGTAGACCAGAATTGGGAAAAAGGCCGCATATAATCCATAGCTTGGGGGGACAGTGACCAGCAGAGCAAATGCTAAACCTGTAAATATGGAAGCATCAGGGTCCTTATTTCAGGCAAGGGGAATCATAAAAGTCCTCCTTAAGTTCTTCAAGTGTTTCAGATTTGTACCTTAAAAATCAGTTACTTTATTAACTCAAATAGATTGAAGATGTAAATGCAGGAGCTAAAACTACAAAACTCTTAGAAGAAAACATAGGTATAAGTTTTCATGAGTTTGGATTAGGCAATGGTTTCTTAGAACTGACACCTACAGCCTAAGCAACCAAATTAAACGCAGATAAATTGAGCTCCATCAAAATTTAAAAATGTGTGCTTCAAAAGTTACTGTCAAGAAAGTGAAATGACAACCCACAGAATGGGAGAAATGATTTGCAAATAGTATCTTGGATAAGGGTCTAGTATCCAGAATATATAAAGAACCCTTACAACTCAACAAGAAAAAGAACCTAATTTTAAAACGTGCAAAAGATTCATTTCTCCACGGATATACAAATTGCCAGTGAGCACATGAAAAGATGTTCAACATCATTAGTCATCAGGGAAATCAAAGTCAAAACCACAATGAGGTATAATTTCAGACTCACGAGGATGGCTAAAATAAGGAAGGCAGATAATAACAAATGTTCACAAGGATATGGAGAAATTTGAACCCTTATATGTTGCTAGTGGGTTACCATGTGACAGCAATCACACTCTAGGTATATACCCAAGAGACCTGAAACATAGGTTCACACGAGAACTTATACACAAGTGTTTATAACAACATTACTCCTAATAGCCACAAAGTGAAAACAACCCAAATGCCATCAACGGATGAACGGATCAACAAAGTGGTCTATCCATCCATAGAATATTAGCCATCATGCAAAGAGGTGAATTACCCTCCCATGCTACAACATGGATGAACCTTGAAAACATGATGCCAAGTGGAAGAAACCAGACATAAAGCACCACATATTCTGTGATTCTGTTTTATATGAAATGCCCAGAATTGGAGGCGCCTGGGTGGCTCAGATGGTTAGGTGTCTGCCTTCGGCTCAGGTCATGATCCCAGGGTCCTGGGATCGAGCCCCACGTCGGGCTCCTGGCTCAGCGGGGAGTCTGCTTCTTCCTCTCCCTCTGCCTCTCCCACTGCTCGTGCTCTCTCTCTCTGTGTGTCTCTGTGTCTCAAATGAATAAATAAAATCTTAAAAAAAAAATGCCGGGCGCCTGGGTGGCTCAGATGGTTAAGCGTCTGCCTTCGGCTCAGGTCATGATCTCAGGGTCCTGGGATCGAGTCCCGCATCGGGTTCCCTGCTCAGTGCAGAGCCTGCTTCTCCCTCTCCCTCTGCCACTCCCTCTGCTTGTGCTCTTCTGTCTATCTCTCTGTCAAATAAATAAGTAAATAAATAAATAAATAAATAAATAAATAAATAAAATGCCCAGAATTGGCAAATCAATAGAGACAGAAAGTCATTGCGAAGGAGATGGATGGATGTAATGGAAAGTGACTCTTAACAGACAGGAGGGTTTGGGAATGGTGCTGGTGGTAAAAATGTTCTGGAATTAGATCATGGTGATGGTTGCACAACCTTGGGAATATAGCAAAGAACACTGAATTTTATACATGAAAGGATGAATTCTATGACATATCAATTCCCTCTCAATTAAAAAAAGTTACCTTGTAGTACAGCTACGAGCCCCGTGCTGATTCCAGAAACAATGTCACTGAGTAGCCATTCCTTTATCCGGTAGGCTGGTAACCAAGATGCTATGGGGAACAAAGACAGGGCAATCTTCTTGGCCTTCTGTGTGGAACAGCTGAAAACATTGAAAGCCACATTCAGTTAAGTCATATCCAATTGTAACTTTGGCACCTAATTGCAGTGGAAAATTGGTAAAGATGATACTATATTCAAGAATGAACCACCACCTTTCGCACTAACACTCGCCTCCTTACCCAGATTGACTGCCCCCCCTCCCCCCGGTCACTACCAAAGGATTTTCTTTTCTTAAGGAAAATGCTGATTTTCTTTAGCCATAGTAGAGCTTACCTGTCATCCTCAGCTTGGATTTTACAACATTTCAGTTGAGAACTTTCCTCTACCCTCATTTCTGATGCTCAGATATGGAAAGATTGTGTCGAGAGCTGAGATGCTGTTCATTTTAGAGATTCCCTTTCCAGCTCTGGCAGGGAGTAGGAGGTTTGGAAACCAAAGATAAGAAGACCCTGAAGGTGATGGGCTAAAGCCAGAAAGGAGAGCTTGGAAAGTTAGAAGAAAGTGCTTCACTTATTCCTCACACCAATACCTTAAAAAATATCTTACCTACAACACACTTTGAGGTGATCCAGGAAGGTCTTATGATGTCTCTGTTTCTTCCCATGTTCCTCCCCAAAAGCATTTGCAGAATACACTGGCCTGGATACAATGTACTGATTCCCAATGGGTTCGATCATTTTGCTTTCTCTGACGGCTGCGTTAAGAGGAAGACCTTTGGAACTATGTGGCAAACCCTTCTTCTTGCCTTTAGCAGCTTCAAATGCCTGAAACCAAACAGAGCTTGCTTCTTAAATAACTCGGAGATAATGTGATGCAATTTACAGATGAGTGATCTCCGAACTGAATGTTACCACCTTTTGAGATCAAAAGAGGCAGGATTAAGGGACCTAGATTGTGTTTTGAGACAGTGATACTACTTTTTACTCCAAGGAGCTGGACACGGCTCCTTTGGGTAAGTAAACAAGGGCTTTTATTATTTATTCTTAACAGATCACCAAAAAGCAATAGAAATTGACTCAGTTTACTCATCAATGAGTACTTTTTTTTTTTACTTGTAAAGTGATATCTCATCAAGAAAAGAATTCACTTTAATTTTTTTTTCTTAGAAACGTTTCCAAGGTTATGGCATTGGAGTCCCGGGACAGATTAGATTTAAAATCTACTCATTGCCCTTTTGCTGCAGTCAAGACCGTTCTGTTTCCCCAGCTGAATTTTTGTAAGACCCATGAAATGCTTGAAATGTGTGAAATTCAAGGATCTTGTCCATTTATTTTTCTATTGTTTCTAGGAGAGTTTTATTACTTGGTTACTTAGCTCACTAGTGGGGAGATCTTTTTAAGAGAAGATCTCGGGCAATTTGCTTAACCTCTCTGAGCCTCGTCTATACAATTGAGCTAATAAGACTCAAGTTTCAAGGTATTAACGAAGAGTAAATGAGAACGTTTTCAAAGCATCTAGCGTTTCACCTGCGCACTGTAGACTTCCGCTAAGTGATAGTTCATATCCTAACTATTTGCATTTCCTGTGTCAGATGTTTACATTTTTTTGTTCTTACCTCAGTCCTGTGTCTGTTATGCTTAAGAGATCAATTTTGCAAAATCTTTTAATGCACATTACCTATTTAGCCCTCCCAGCTCTTAAAGGCACTTAACAATTCTTATTACTGTCCTCTTCTTACAAAATGACAAAATAATAGCACACACCTCCCCCCAAAAATCTGAGTCCTTTTCCTCAGTTCTTTTCCTCAGGACATAGAGCTAGTAGAGTGTCAAACACATTTCTTTGCTGTTTCTTCTATGACACACAGCTTCTGTGTTGTCCAATGGGAACGTTAAGTGAAGACCATTCCAGCTGTCAGCATTTTCCCCTCTAACCTTGTTTCTGTACTACTACTCACAATACCCAGAGTTTTATTCCCTGACCTCAGTCACAGTTATTAATTGAATGATCTCAAACTAGATTGTACCTTGTTACATGGCGCTCTCTCGCAGCTCAAGGGATTTCCAGCCTGTTTGCAGAGCTCAAGTTATAACCAGAAATCAGATGCTGGCCTAAATTTCTCCCACCTGTCCTGTCTTTGACCACCCATTTCTCTCCCCCAACCAATGCCCTCCCCTCTAAAGTCCTCTCTACTGATCTTCTCTGACCACCGTGGAGTGCCTCTGCCGCACACTCTGGCTTGACCTCCAGAATTTGGGGTGGTCTTGAGCTTTGTTATGACTGTTAGACCCCTTCGGTTCTTTCTGAGTCTTCTCCCACCCCAATGAGCTGCTTTTTTTCCCTGCTTCTTCTCTATCCCCTCGCTTATCCCTCCACCCCAAGTTCCAGTGTCAAATCCCACCAACTATACAGTACTTCTCATTGTCAGAAGAATGTTCGTGAAGTAGAATCAGCTTGGCTTACTCATTGCTATGCATAGCACAGATTTTTGTCCTTATTTGCCAATTACCAACAAAACACTTCAGAGCTAATCCCTGTCAATGACTCTTGACACCTTAGATCTCTTGCAAAGGCTGTCCAGAGTGCCTTTCAAGAACAGCTTTCATCCTGTGAGGTATCCAACCTAGCCCACCTTAGGATGAAGAATACTCAAGCACTGTGGATTTATTTCTGTCAGATGCTGCCATGGGCAGAAAAAAGAGATTCCACTATTTTGTTGCTTTACTCATATTTTCACCAAGTTGCTCAGAAAAACTCATCAGCTCTTTCTTAAGAAAGTACTTCTTTTCTTCCTTTTGCTGTTGTGTGTTTTTTCTCTGCTAAGGCATGGGTTGATTTTTTTTTTTTTTTTTGCCAGTGACAGTGATGGTAGAAATCACTCTGTTTTGCTTTGCTTCCTTCCCTGAGGATGACCTTGGCTGGCTTTTAGTGGGTTCCATCATACCTCCAGCTGCATCAAGGGCCTGGGCCCTGCCATCCGGCCCCAGATTGGAAAATGCCTCCTCCTCACACCCAAGCACTGACTACAAGGGGAGTGCTCAAGGTCAGGAATCAGGGCAGCTTAAGAAATCCTTTAAGGGGGCGCCTGGGTGACGCAGTTGGGTAAGCATCTGACTCTTGATTTAGGGTCAGGTCATGATCTCAGGGTCATGGGATCGAGCCCTGTGTTGGGCTCCTTGCTGGGCGTGGAGCCTGCTTAAGATTCTCTCTCTCTCTCTCTCCCTCTGCGCCTCCCTGCACCCCCGCCCGGCCCTGGCTCACGTGCACACTGTCTCTAAAAAACAAAACAAAACACACACACACACAAAACTTCCAGAATTTAAAGAAAGAGACCTTGAGGGCCACATTCCAGTCCTGTGGTTCATTCTCTACTGCCACCCTTGCTCCCGAAGCGGCTGCCTCCCGTTCCCCACTCAGCACCCGATGTGAGCCACTGAATCAACCACCGCCGTGGTGCTTCTGGTAGGAGAAGCTCCAGACAGTCATAAATTCATGTCGTTCTCCATGTCATCATCTCTGGGATGCTTTAGTATGATCTATGTTAGTTAGGAATGCAAAAGCAATTGGCTCAATCTTTTTTTTTTTACCTAAACAAATTACCTTCCCCCAGAACTTTTTTTTTTTGAAGATTTTATTTCTTTGACAGAGACACAGGGAGAGGGAACACAAGCAGGGGGAGTGGGAGAGGGAGAAGCAGGCTTCCCGCCGAGCAGGGAGCCTGATGCGGGGCTCGATCCCAGGATCCCAGAATCATGACCTGAGCCAAAGGCAGATGCTTAATGACTGAGCCACCCAGGTGCCCCCCCCTTTTTTTTTTAAGATTTTATTTATTTATTTGACACACAGAGAGAGACAGCGAGAGAGGGAACACAAGCAGGGTGGGTGGGAGAGGGAGAAGCCGTCTTCCTGCTGAGCACGGAGCCTGATGCAGGGCTCGATCCCAGGGCTCTGGGATCATGACCCGAGCCAAAGACAGACGCTTAATGACTGAGCCACCCAGGCTCCCCTTACCCCAGAAATTCTTGAAAAAACTTTTCTTGGTCCCTAGAAGTACAATTCCAGGCTCAAGTATGACACCCATATTCACATATGCCTTATCATGTTCTGATTTATCTTCATGCCTCAGATTTCTCTCTGGGTTTCTTAGGGTGTCAGTGGTTCTTCGGGGATTGAAATTTATTCACAGGCATCTTTCCTCTTAATAATTTTAGAACTCAAACTCTCATTGGTATACATTTCCAATGTATATTTCCTTTTCAATGATGTGTTCTTTTAAATTATTTTGGCCTCGGGCGCCTGGGTGGCTCAGTTGGTTGGGCGACTGCCTTCGGCTCAGGTCATGATCCTGGAGTCCCAGGATCGAGTCCCGCACCGGGCTCCCTGCTCGGCAGGGAGTCTGCTTCTCCCTCTGACCCTCCTCCCTCTCATGCTCTCTGTCTCTCATTCTCTCTCTCTCTCAAATAAATAAAATCTTAAAAAAAAAATTATTTTGGCCTTTGTAATATATGTATTATATACATAGACACACTCACATATGCACACATACATCTGCATACTTTGGTCCTGGGGCTTAGTCATATACGCTTGTCTTTCTCTGCCTTTTTTTTTTTTTTTTCTGAGCAGAAATTTAATTCCAGGATTGATTTCTGAAGTTCGGGTTTTTGTTTTTTTTTTCAATTTAACTCTTCTGGTTTATGAATAACTTTTTGATATTTCTAGTGATTAGGGATGGTCGTATGCATAAGCCCCCAGCCCCAGCCCCCGCCCAGTTCCGCCCATCTCCAACCTGCTGCCAAGCACCAAGTGTCACTCCCTGCCTTCCAGTGACCCGAGCACCCCCACTCGCCTGCCCCCTCCACGGAGAAGTGTCTAACGGCCTTGACTTTTCCACTCCTCGGCATTTATCCATTCAGTGTCCTCGTCTCTCAGAGGGCCGCCCTTTCTGCTGTGGAACAGCTAATTTGAACCCAGGTGCTCCTAAGCAATGCTAGCATTTTTCGTTAATTAGTGTTAATTTGAAACTGCGGAGCGTTTCCCAGCCCCTCCCCAGTTCACAGTTGCTACCTCCACCATTGTGGCACAAGGTGGGTGCCCAACGACCCCACCCTTCAGTAGGATCTCCAAATACCCCTGTGGCAGTCCGTGGAAAACCAGAGGAAGCCAGCCCCATTTCATGCATTGCTTCTTGGACAACGGGGAATACAGCTGTGTCTTTTTTTTTTTTTAAGATTTTATTTATTTATTTGAGAGAGAGAGAATGAGAGACAGAGAGCATGAGAGGGAGGAGGGTCAGAGGGAGAAGCAGGCTCCCTGCCGAGCAGGGAGCCTGATGCGGGACTCGATCCAGGGACTCCAGGATCGTGACCTGAGCCAAAGGCAGTCGCTTAACCAACTGAGCCACCCAGGTGCCCGCTTGTGTGCTTTCTTTCTGTCTCTGTCAAATAAATAGATACAATCTTTTTTATTTTTAAAGATTTTATTTATTTTTTTGAGAGAGAATGAGAGATAGCACAAGAGGGAAGAGGGTCAGAGGGAGAAGCAGGCTTCCTGCTGAGCAGGGAGCCCGATGCGGGACTCGATCCCGGGACTCCAGGATCATGACCTGAGCCGAAGGCAGTCGCTTAACCAACTGAGCCACCCAGGCGCCCCACAGCTGTGTCTTGATAGCTATACTTATGGGGGACGGGCGAAATAAGCAGAATAATCGAGAGCCAAAGATGAGCCCGAAAGTGAGGGC